ATGGCAGCCTTTCCAGGTTATTCCAATGCTGGGCCATACCTGTCCATACACACCCCATCCTATTTTGTCCCTGAGCCGGTTACATTGTCCCAACAGTGCTGGCTGTTGCAACAGGCACTCAATATCCATGTGAAGACATGTAATTATTTCCCTGAATATCCAGGGTATGGAGGGGGTGGGGGATACTGTATCGAAGTCTGTGGGGTTGGAGTCTAAGGTGGAGGTAGGTCAGCTGGGTACTCCATTTCGAATTCATAACTGTATGGTGGTGGAGCCACTGGGTACGTGCTGATGGTGTTGATGTGCATGGTCCGGATGACCCCTACTCGAGTCCCACGGTTGCTCTTCATGCACATGCAGATACAGATGGCAATCCCAGCTATCACTCCCATTATAAACACTATGCCAAAAACAATTCCAGCTATTGCTGTGCCTGAAAGGACATTCCCAATGTAGGCATAATATGAACAGCAGTAGGGAGTAGTCCCATCACAGCAGTAAGCTTTGCAGTCATTATCACACTGAGCCAGACAATCTTCTGCCAGGAGGAGCAGAAGGAGGAGGATGGGGATAAGGCCAGGGGGTAGCAGCAGCCCCCGGGCGGGACGCCCCTCGGTCCGGCCGCGTATTAGAGCTCAGTTCAGCTCTCTTCAGGTTGCAGTCCATGCATTAATTTGTAGTGCAATTTGTATCACAATCTAAATTAGTTGGTTGATCAACCTGTTTTTTTAATCTCAGCACTTTGTACAGTCACAATCATGACCAAAACTATTATAAGGAGTCCCTCTCAGCCACTCCACTTATAGTGAGGTCCCCGTGTTTTTTTCAGGAGGTTAAGCGATTGCATCAATTCATGCAGTAAATCATTGACTTCAAAGTGCAATTACTTGCTCCCTGTTGCCCAAGTTCATCCACCTGACTTACTTTCTTTATCTGTGGCACCCAAACAGCTATCTCAAACAACGTCTATATTCTGTGCAAAAAGAAATGACTTGTCATTTAGAAGCTTCAAATTCTTTGGAGTGAATTTGGGCTGATCTATCTCAATCTCCCAACAGTAACAGCTACAGACAGATCGATGCTTTTGTATCAGAGATAGGACTCTCCTACTGCTCTCTCTATTTTGGAAAGCAAGCTACCACAATTTCCACTGCCATTGTAATTCACTATATAAAGGACAGTGTTTTCAGCAGTAATTATTTAACGTCAGTTTGACAGAAAGTTTCCATCAAAAGTAGAGATGAACAACATAGTTTCTGTAAAAATGCAGTAAAAATAGAAATTATATAGATGATAGTTACCTCCACATAAAAGATGGGGTAGACTATGTTTGGGAATTTCTATTTAACAGAAAATTTGCTATCTTTCTGAAAGCAACAAATATGCTGACTGATTAGTAATTGCCTGGCCCCTTTAAACTTCGGTTAACAGGAAACATGGAATCAGGAGAGGAAATGAGCTCTTCTCTTTGCAAACACCCAGAAGGTTATAGAGTGTTAAGAAAAAGCTAATGTGAATTTACCAGAGACAGATTATGTCGCTCTTCCTTCTACATCAGGACAAAATGACTTTCTGTACGACAGAAGTAGGAGATACTCTGCACCTTCAGTGAATGAATACACAGCTTTTTTATGTTCTTTCACAACAGAAAACCAGAGCTTCTCAGAGGTTTGGTGCCAAACAGAAAGGCCATACTGTGTGATACTCATTTAGGTCTTTACTGAGACAGTGAAACAGAGAACATGCATTTTCTATGCACAGTAAAGGCAGCATCTGGCAGGGGCTGTGAGCACACAGGAGGACACATTTATAAGTTTAAAGGATTTGAGAAATCAGTTGGAACAGACTTGAAATTATGAACAAATAAAGAAATACTTATCAGTCGCACAAATGCAACATGGGGAATATGGGTGGATGTGGAGATTAGATAGTATCAGAAATATGTGTCTGTCATGCTGTTGCAAAACCAAATGACAAACAATGACTCTAGAACAAACTTCGCCTTTGAATCTATAAACATTGGTTTCACCTGATGCTTCAGCAAGAACACTGCACCCATCCAGGGCACCATACTTCTCTGAAAACCCAGGCTACAGTAGGGTGAACAAAAAAGAACACAGATAATTAAATGTAATTTAATACATTAAAGAAAAATAACTGGGGTTAATTGCATTTAGTTCAGGATTTTTATGCTTCAGTTCTCTGCCACTGCTCTGGATACCTCACCATATTACATCTTCCACATGACTTCCATTCTCATTACTCATCCTGCATCACAGACTGGTCAGATAAGATTTTCTATATTGCAGCATGAGAAATTTTGTTTTATAGATATCCCAGTTCCTTTAAGAACCACATAGCACTGCCCTCATGGGGAAATGCAAGTTATAAATGGGACAGCCAGCATCAGAACTAGATCTGAGGAGCAGGGTTCAGATCACCCCACCAAAAGCACAGCTAGTTTCCTTCTTGCCTGCACCCTTTATTTCACTGCGCAGTCAGAACAAAGGGGGGGTTGTGACCTTCAAGACGTTCCCTCTGTCCCACATGACTAGATTGATACAGGAAGGACAAGGAGGCACAGCAGAGGTTCAGTGACGTTACAGCTTCTACTTTAAAATGACAGGGAGAAAAAAAATCAGTTAAGGGGGAAAAGGAGAGGCAAGAGTGGCATACTTACAGAGATGGAGCAAAAAAAGCCAGTGACAGGAAAAAAGCACTGCTAATTGAAGAACTCCCTGCATCTGAGAGTCCTGGAGTCCAAATGCATTCACGGGCAACCCTAGCCCCTAAAAGAGCTCCAAAAGAAATATAAAAGCATCTCTTTTAACATGAACCAAGCATACAAAAAGAAAAAAAAAATCCTAACAACTAAAAGCAACAGATGTCTTTGAAGTACCGTGAAAATTCACCAGAGCCCCTGCTTGTTTGTTGTACTTCACTAGTACGTCAAAAAATTAAGAGATTCATCAAACAACCTTGACATTTTCCTGCTGTGTGATGCTGCAGATACCCATGTTTCCAGCTCACTAAATGCTTGGAAACATTCTGTGTTCAGAGGAAATGAGTAAGAGTGTTGGTTCAGGAACCTCAGCTCCTCAGGCTAAGGGAATGTTACAGAAATGTCTGAAGAAGATAAGTTTATCTCTGACCAGATACCATAAACGCTATGATGGGCAGATATGACATCATTTTAATGCCAGTAGGAAGCTAAGGTCATCCTGTACCACCTCAGAAAGTTTTTTTTTTATTTACTGGAGGCAGTCAGAGCATGCCCTGCCCACGCTGCCCCCCGGGACTGGAAGCACAATTCCCTCCTCCTGCTCTGCCATCCCCTGCCTTATATAAGCAAAGGTAACCCAGAGGTCACGGCAATTTCTGTCTGAATACGTGTCATACAAGATATCTCCTGGCTCAGGAGCCCTTTTCTGTTTGCCTCAGATACTGCTGCCTAATAACAGAAGTAGAACCACTTTAGCCTTGGGAGCGGACTGCGCTTACAAAGGCATTCCCATCTCCCAGTCCTTACTGACAGCAGGCTTGGGCTGGAGGACAAACAGCCATCTCTCCTTCAGTTTGCCGTGGGGGCCAAAGGAAAGGGTTTCAACCTTCATCACAAAGCAGCATATTTAATAGATAGTTGTCAGCAGTAAACTGCTGATCAACTGCATGAAATCAATTCATTACTGATTTTCTGTTTGGAGGATCATTCTAAGGGCAAATGAGACTTGAATCAAGAAATCAAAAAAAGGAAACATCAGTAAACTTAAGAAATCAAGCAAAATCAGAACTAATCTCCTTCCAATTGTCTTTTTCAGTATAATGCACAACCATACAAAGTTTTTATGGCTACAGGCTGAATATTTGCTCCACAGGACATAGGAGAGAGGGGGAGGCCACAAGGCTTCCTGCCCCTTTTCTCCCCAGCTCTCCTCCCCATTAATAAAGCACGGCCAGTCCTATGGCGTGTGTAGTAGCTATGTGACCAAAGAGTCTCCCTCCCTTTTGGATCTTCTCTCTGTCTGTGAGAGCCATTCTGCAACTCTCCAACAGCAAGAAATCACAGACCAGTCTGTGTCTGCACACGTGATACAGGTTTGAGAAGGAGGGATTGAAACACTACGGAACAGGAAAATAAAAGTGCAAAATCTACAGGTGTTGAAAGAAACCTGGTAATAACCTTCTGGGAGCACAGAGATTCACCGGAATGAGATTGTGTTCTGTCATTTTACATTAGTCCTCTCATCTGATTGCAGCAGCTGATACATGCAAGCAAGATTCTCAGGCGATAGCAGATGAACACAACTCATTTCTCCCATCATCTGAAAGTCATTAGGATTAGAGCACTGCATGCACCAGAAACATCAAATTAAGCACCCACCACAGGATCAATCCCCATTATCCCCTGGGTTTTGCAAATTACCACTGCAAATTAAGTATTTTAGTGAAAGCACTTATAATTTGCTTTCTTGGTTAGCAATGATTTAATTATGCTCACTTTTAAAACACAAGATGATTAAAAGTTTTCTTTTTTCACACAGCTAACAATCAATATTTTACTCCTTTGTTACAACTGCAAAATTATTATGTGAATGCAGAAACTAAAATTCAAGTTTAAACTCATAACTCATTTGGTTGCTATTGTTTGCATTATTAAGGATTAGTTGAAACAGTAGGAAAGTACAGTTCACAAACAATCAGAAAAGGGGGAAAGTGCAGCAGTTCCAACTTCCAAATATTTTTATCCATCTGTACAGTATGTAAGCCAAGACGCACTCTAACTTCAGGCTCCCAGTCTGCCAAGTGCTACACAAATTGCTAGATCAAGGTATTCAGAAGCACAACATGGGCTAAACAAACTTTTATGCTATTTTGATTTCTTGACTAAAGATAATCTAGAACATCAGGGCAATACAAGAACCACCAAGCATGGAATAGACTCTGTATGTTTGCCGAGACACTTGACTATCATAATCTTTAACATGAAATGTAATATCCCGGTTTAGGCTTGCTGGATTTATTTGCAGAGTAAAACAATTAGCACTGGGAGAATAAATCTGGGGATTACATCTCCTCATTCAGTATGCCTCAGGGAGTCAGCAAATACATTCAAAGTGTTGTCACGTACATGAAAATATACAGAATGATAAACAGAGGAAGCAGCAAAACACTCCACGGCATATGGTTTATGTAAATTGAAACCAAAGTCTGTATACAGAAAATAAGTACAAAATGTAATATTTATTGAATTCTATTCACTTGGAACATAAAGCTGGAATTATAATAGCAGGTGTTCTCAGATACATGTTTGAATGCCAGGAAATTACTCCTGTACGATTTTTGTCTGCTACAAAGTATACGTTAGCAATTTAGCTCCAAATTAACATTTATAGGTCTCCCAAGACTGCTTTTCTTTTTCATGCCAGTTTATCTTCTGCTACCGTTCCAGGTACTTCACACACACCATCTTACACACAGTATTCCACAAAAAATAAGATGAAAACTTTTAATAAAACTGGTAAAAGCAAATCTTTTAAAACTGCGTTTCCTCTGATGTCATTACAAATAACCACCGCACAATACCCCACAAGCGGAAAAGGAGAGAAGTTAG